CAACCGAAATTCCGAAATGCGTTTTCGTTCCGAAAAGATTAATTAAGTAGGGCTGTAAAACTAGTCAGCTTACAACATAATTCTATAATATTTCTGTTACCTCAGGATGCCGGCTTTCGAATTAACTTTTTTCCGGTTGCATGCAAATACTACACTTAGACAAAAATGACTACTTATGTTGCATGAATTTTTCTCATTTATTTTCGAGGCCCCTAAAAGTCCAATTATATTTCATGGAAAAGGTACACAAAAAATACGTATTCTTTTGCTCGTTCGGTAGATAATTATGTCTTATTCGAATATCATACTCAAAGAAGGTGTATAATTCGGTTTTATAAAGTTTCTAATTCTGGGACTTTTGAATACCGTGAAATGACCGCTCATAAATCGTCATGTCTCTGCATTTACCATGTGGCATGTGAAGTTAACAATATGGATCAAATCCACTGCTAAATTTTATGAACCCTATATGGTCCCCCTTTAGTAATGTAGAGAAATGTGTGACTTTTCCCCACACGGGAAATGTATGGTTTGTAATTTGGAAACCCTGAATTCAATTGTAACGGCGGGTCGGGTTCAAAATTGGAAAAGTTGTTGAAAACCGAATTATGTCCTTCCTTCGAGTATCAAATTGGAAGAAGACGTGATTTCCTACCGAATGAGCAAAAGGATAAATGTTTTTTTGCATGTTTTCCATGAAATATAATTGGACTTTTAAGGGCATCGAAAATCAATGAGAAAAATTCATGCTACATAAATAGTCATTTTTTACAGAGCGTGGATTCTGCATGCAGCCGGAAGGAAGTTCAGTCGAAAGCCGGCATCCTGGGGTAACTGAATTATTATAGAATTATGTTGCAGGCTGACTAGTTTTACAACCCTATTTAATTAATCTTTTCGAAACGAAAACGCATTTCGGGATTTCGGTTGACATTTCATGGGTTAGCCCACCTACTATGCTTTTGTCAATCTACGGCCCACAAGGCTAGGCGCTGAGAGAAATGCAGAACGACTGGCTGACTCGCAAAGCCGAGGAAATTCATGAATATGTTGGCAATCGTGAGATGAAGAACTTTACGGTCCAAAAGGCCAGGGGCTGTGTCCCGGCTGAACCAGAATGGAAGAACCATCCTGAAAGCGAAGTCACAGATCTTGGGGCGCTGGGATGCTTACTTCAACGGCGCCCTCAACCATCCGTCGGCAATATGCGAAGAGACTATTAATGGACTTCCTTAGGTGGGCACCAATGACGATCTCAGTCGTCCACCTTCTCTCCCTTCAGACAACCGGAAGAGTGCAGCAGCTGTCCGTTGGGCCGAAGCAATTCCAGCCGAGATCTAGGAGTGCGACAGCCCACAACTCATGGGAACTTTACTTCGCAATTCCAGGAGATGTGGTGACAAGAAAACATTCCCCAAGTCTTCGAGGATGTCACCATTGTACATATTTACGAACACAACGAAAACCGGGAACGATGTGATAGCGGCAGAGTCATCCATATTCTTATCATGGAAAAAAATATTCGTCTGTGTCCTGCTTAATTGCCTGGGGGCTCCTTTGGAGCAGGGGCTTGTGCTATAAATGCAGCGGTGATTCTGAAAACGTCGCGGAACCATAAACATGACCTTCGCGGCCCGCTAACTGAAGCAGTATCTCAGTATCACCTCCTTCGACCTGACAACAGCGTTCAACACAGACAACCGCCATGGACTCTAGAGAATCAAGTTGGAATTCAGTCATCCTGATCGATTTACTCAAATGATAAGACACCTTCCGGATGGGGTGATGGCTCGCATCTCGGACAAAGGGACAATCTCTCTGAAGCAGTGGCGGGGACCAATGGGGTTATGCGGGGCAGAATACTCGCTCCCACCCTATTCAATCTCATCCTTTGTGTCATTTTTGTGGACGCCTACAGTGAGGAGAGGGGGGGGGGAACGGGAATCATCATCATCATCATCATCATCAAGTACCGAACCGACAGAAACTGTCCAACATCCGTCGCCTGAAAGCGTGTTCGAGAGCATTGAAGGCTGGCATTCACGACCCACCATTCGTGAACGACTGCGCGGTAAACACCACAATGCAGGAGGGCATGCAGGGGAATATACAGTGACTGAACGATCTCATGAAAAGGTTGGCTGAAATTCCGAACTGCGTTTTCGTTTAGGAAGGATTACTTACTTACTTACGAAAACGCATTTCAGAATTTCAGCCAACATTTCATGAAATTGGTCACTCAATGTAGGCCTCATTGCCTTCGGCTGCTCCAAGTTCGGCCTGACCATCAGTGCGAAGAGGACAGTGGACCGGAACGTGTGCCATTATCAATGGAAGACATCTCAAATCAATGTAGAAATTTATGTACCCCGGAAGTACGATTTTAAGAAACACCAAGATTGACGAGGAAGTCGCAAAACCAGCCGACTAGCCAAAGCACTCCGTCTTGAACAGTCGTGCTATCTTGTTGGGCACACAACGGAGACGCTATCCTGACAAAGTCCTTGTGTGGAACAGGGACGTGAATCATTTATGAGAACTAAGCAAGAAAACAGCCATTTCCGCCTCAGTTACCTCTGGTGAAGTGGAAGTAGCAGAAAAAATCCCAGACACCGAGATCTCGGAATGAATCGGCTTCCCCAGTCCCCACGTCATGCTGGTGCAGACACAAATACGATGCTACGGTTATGTCGTCAGGATGAACGAGGGGCGTCTGCCCAAGTAGCCATTTTGTGTCGATGGAGTTGCGTGTGGTCGCAGACAGGGTGGACAAAAGGGCCACTTCAAGGACTCCTTGAGGGATTCGCTCAATCATTTGGATCTGTAAAAACAAAGAGGGGACCTTAAAAAGCCCAAGTGCTACAGGCCAATGACGTCAGCACCCGACCGCTGTCATCGCGTCAAGCTGTCAGTGGACATCTTGGGCACGGATCGGCATTATTGGACACCTGCGGACACAGTATAATGTTAGCGCAGACAACCCGCCCTTTTCAACCTAACATACTGCCACTAACTACACCGGCGAGGACACTCTTACCGACCTCCAAAACGTTATCTTCAGCACCCCTGCAACCGAATATGTGATTCCAATTCCAATCTGCCATCGTTGCCACCACACTTTCTCACCAATCATAGGCCTGATCGGTCACTTGCGAATCCATCGTACGGATCAGGCAAACCAGTAATTGCGGCCCCGACCTACAGCCGTCACACGCGCCAGGTCCAAGTCATTCAGACACCGAATGGGCCTAAGTGGCCATATGCGTATCCGTGACAGACGGAGTCACCGCAGTGTCGTCGCGACAGGCCTAGATTCTCCGCCTGAAAACACCTCTACCATCAGGACTACCAACTCACCACCATCATCACCAACAACAAGGTCCTGCCGCCAGCTCACTAGCTACAGCCCCATGCTGTCTCTGCTGCTACCGCACATCAGCGTCACGCCTCGGCCACTTGCCAATCCACCGGAGCCCGTCGCAAACGCCCCACCTACACATACAGCCCATGGGGCATTCCATCACCGTAAGGGCCCAATCGGCCATGTGCGCCCTCATAAACGCCTGCGGTAAAGCGCTGCAGACATTGTCTCGCGCACTACACAGGCCGATCCCACATCACTCGGCACACATCCATCGCGTTAGTGGAAAACATGTTTTTGGCGAAACTTGGTGCCTGACAGGGTCGTGTGTGACGGGCTGTTATAATTTTGTTAGCCGTTACACCTAATCCAAGTGTGAGATAGCCTCCGACAGCCAAGTAGTGCACGGGAGAGGTAAGAGCGAAGTGGGCCCCGTTCCCACGGAACTTTAGCTCATTCCTCGCAACAATCTGACGAGATTGACGACCGGGTGGTACAATAGCTGTCCAGTGGAAAAGTACCGGGAGGCGACGCAGTCCCAACCGAAGTCTTAATGTGCGGCGACCATGCGAATGTACTTCAGCCAGTGGATGATCGGTTTTACTGACCAAAAGAGACTGTTATCTCAGCCTTAGCGCCCTGGCTTCTGACTTGGGAACTCGCCATTGCAGGAGCTACTAATTCGTGTTGGTTCCCCCAAATAGTGGATGCTGGCAACAACCAGCCTTTCAAGGGCACGGAAGTGTATTTTAATATCAGTTTTATTACATTCGTTGGCTACCCAGGCATATTTGCTAGCGGATAGACTGATGCGAATCCGCAGCTGTCAACTTGCGCCCGTTTCGAAGCCAAATCCCCAAACACCACCGCCACCCGCCCTGAATCCACCCAAGTCTCGCAGACGGTCTGTGACTCTCAAAATTTAGATAGCGTAATGGCCGACCCAAACGCAGTCCCTAGGACGACACTTTCGAAACCACGCTACTGACTACTACCGATATCACAGTACTTCCGGCATTGAGGACTGCTGCTGCGTCTGCAGACTCCTGGACACGTCGGAAAATGACCGCCCTTTCCCTGCGACATACGAACGTTTTCTGGTGGGCCTGGCGTCTAGTTTGCTTTGCTTCCCCACTACAACGGAGGATCCTTGCGAGGACGACGGTTCGCACCCTCAGATTACCAGCTACTCTCCTCTTGCTCCGCTACGATGCTGGCACTAATGTGCTAGTACCTGCACACGACTGTGTGAGAAACCTTCCTGTCATTTTGCTCCTAAACGAAATCAATAAAAAGGGATAACAGTCAATATTTCCGAAAACTTTATTAAAAACGGAAATGAATGAGGGATATGTCTGCAGTACTCAAGTGTGTCCTATGGTAGACTACGAGCGGACATTTCGAGAATACTTTCAACTGTCTCTTCAAAGTCCTGCAGAACGAAGCCTCTCCAAACATCCCAGTGGCGGAAAACTCGGAGATGGCAGTTGAGCATCTTTGGCAATTGAAGGGCATCTTTGAGGACTGCGTGCTGGACGACAGTCACCCCGCAGTCATCAGCGTTCCGTTTTCGGAGGTGAGCGTGCACTTACCGATGGCAGACAGCAGTTGATGGAGTTTGGCCCGGTGGAAGTGTAGCCTACAACTGTTAGAGAGCGAACTGTAACTCTCAGTGACAGTGAAAGTGCATAAGTTGGTGTTGAAGGCGGTGGTACCAAACAGAAGTTGGGGGATCTTCCGGTTCGCCGGTGGTGATGAACACCACTGACCGACGTGCAGTGACAAATAAAACGAATGCATAGGGGGCAAATGCGGCCCTGCCGCAAATCGGCTGCAAAGTAACCTGACCGCGTTCGCCGTTGGTACTTTACCTGTTCATTCGCGCACTTTCACTAAACGTGATAATTGTCCATGGTAAATCTCCCATTTTTTCCAGTATTTCCAGTTAAAGCACGTTCGATGACCCAGATTGGTGGTTTTTTCATATAAATGTCCACGAAAGTCGGTCGCATAGTGATCAAAGTGGAGGGAAACTACACAAAGAAACAGCTACTGTGCTTAAGGACACTCCCTACATAAAAAGCCGTCGGTTGTGCTCGCGACAACGTACCGCATCTAGTGTGGAATTAGCCGACGCATTTTGACGCACCATACTCCCCCTTCCAAGCATTCCCATTAAAGTGACGCAAAATCTGCCGCAGAGGACTTTGCGGCTTTTGTAGGGGCCCTTTCATAGGCCTTCGCACTGTTCAGGGAGAAACGGTGAGGGAGAGTCGAGAGGCTCAAACGTAAATGCGGATGCCTTACACCATGTGCTCCAACTAATTCAGGCAGCGTAAGGAGCATTCAAATGTTACAAGTGCCTGGTCGGAGAGGTGTTTCCTACAATAAGCTGGCGAATTCGATATTTTGACGGAAGCAACAAGTGGCACAAAGTTTTGGAGACAGCGCTGGGAAGTAAGTCCTTTGATCAGGTCCTGCCAACAAAATCCTTGTAAAATTGGGCTGGAAGGACGACATGATTAATAATACGCGTAATGCAAATAGCATGAAGAATAGTAATGGTAATATTGTGTCTTTACGATGTCCTCGGAGGAAGATGGTCGCGGGTAAGCGGAGGCGTTGATGGAGCCTGACGGAAACTAAAGATGTTTTGGCGATAATTCAAAACCAAATGCATTACCTTCCTAGCGGAAGCCCTGCGTTTCGTTCGTCCACCATATCGGTCTACTGATCCATGAAACCATCCAATGGCAGTCATTCGCACTATTTCCACCTCACATTTATTAAATGTCGGATTCCGTCGAATAATATCTATGCGTGCGAGTTAATAAAGTAGTTATACCATAGAGAATGGTAGACAGGGGGCAGCCAACAAAAGACCGCTTTCTAGCGGATCCCGCCCAGCAGAAGTTCAAGCACAGCGGTGGAGCCAGAAGGGAGCTTAAGAGATTTCTAATGTACTCCTTTTCATTCCGCCCTGTAACCAAGGACAACCGTTTTACCTGAGAACCATCCATTACATAAATTTGCATACCAATTCGTCTGCAAAACCAGCCTGCGTACTTAGCCGACGGACGAAGTCTTCGTAGGCTTCGGCGGTACACAAGGGCAAGCGTAGAGGAGGGGGGCTGTCGTTGGCAGGGTCTTCGGCGGTGGACAATGACAAATGCGAATGAGAAGGGCTGCTGTTAGCGGTGGTGGCGTTCCTCTCCACTGCACTGACAACATCCGTCAATGTTGCCCTGATCTCCCTTAATTTGTCGAACAGGACAACGAACTGGCCGGTCACATAGCTAGTTTTCTTTCTAAGCTGTTGTCAACGACAGTGGCAACGGTCTTACTTGATGGACGCCATCAAAATCTCCAGGTCTTGATGCACCTGCTTGCAGCACGCTGTGCTGTCAGTTGGCAGGGTAAACGATGTCGGCTTTTCGGTAGCCAACCTCAAGTATCCACTAATGAAACTCGCTTACTGGTTTGAGGTTGTTGGCATAGGCTGAGGCGGGAAACTCCAAGGAAAAGACGGGACGTTAGGTATAATCTCGTTGGTTCTGGGCCAAAAAATCATTTGAGACGATTGCGCTTACTGGAGTACACGGGGCGGCGCCGGCCAATCGACCGGCTGCCTCTCAGGCTGCTTGGTGAGGGACAGGCCATCGTCGACCGAATTAGGAATAGGTCTACGGAAATATGTGTAACGGGAAAGTAATCATGTGAGACACAAACTTAGTACTCTCGTCAGCCATCAATTCTGGCGAACGATCGACCACCGACGACGTGGACGCGCCCATGGATACTTCTGTCGTGGCATAGTATGCCTTTTTCGCACGCATAATTCGCTTGTAAATTGTACTTCGGTGAAATCCGTAGTATTTCCGCTTCATTATTACTTCGAGTGGAGCAATAAACGATTTACGGGGAGTAAAACCATACGTTGCCCATGGGCAGTCACTCACAAATCATAGGTACTCGCTGGCTGGTAGATCTATTTAAGCCGTAGCGAAATTAAAGCGAATTGGGTATATAAAGGCCCACTGGACATGAAAACGACTACGACCACGTGTTACTGTGCCACGAACGCGCAGATGGGATTGACAACTCGCAGCTGCAGCGAGCTCGGTCATCAAGTGCGGGCAAAACCCAACAACGCGCGCAACCCAAAAAACCAAAATATAAGCAAATAAGCACGATGTGGGTTAGTTAAAACATACAAGTGTCAAAGGTCAATATGATAGAAAGGCAAACTACCAGGATAGCTATAATAGAAATGCAACAGCAAATTACGCTTTACTACCGAAAATGTAGACTAACTACCGTCAATACCGAGCGTTTATCGTACATTTTACCAGATATTCAGGCCAAATGACAGGGACGTCCTTGCTGCCATATCTAAACGGCTGACGTTGCGGTACGGTCTGTAGTGGCCGAGGACGTCAAGGGTAGCACAGGTCAGAGTAAGGAAGCGTTGAGAAGAGATTCTGGCAGAGGTATACCTGAACAGAACTGTTAACACCTCTCGAAACTCGTTTACACGCGGAAGAAGGGAGTACGTCAAGTGTGGATATAGTGTAATAGAATGACATGATATGGAGAATGTATATAACAAACGTTAATATACACACGGAACGAGGAACATGCGAATGGGTGGCCTGTCTGGATGGATAGGTGACCCTGAAATACTAGCTAAACAGCCGGTGGGGATGCAGCGTTGTGGGCAACTGCAGGGAGGGGCCAAGGTGAGGGCCTACGTTGAGCGGGAGAGAGACGAGAACGAGAGTGCGTTGTGAAAGGGGGATTGTGTTGGCGATAGCGAGAGGAAGGGACACCGGCCGTCTTCACCAGCACGCAGTTACACCATCTCCATCCCAGGTCCGCGCCAAAAGTGTAACAGCATTCAAACAATTCTGTTCGCGCCAAGGGGCGTTACAAATTAACTGGAAACTGAAATTCATGAAAAAATCAAATGTTGAGCGATCACCCTGGAATTCACAAGGCGGGTAACTATATTCTAACCAACTTTCTGATATTCTCTCACTCTGAACATCAGTTCTTCGTACCTACCCTAGTTGTAGCAATGGATATCGAGTAGATATATAAAGAAAGTGATTTATCGAGATATGTATGTCTGTTACATAATCGGATACCTCGTTTTTGCAATCTGACATCCCGTTGGTTGCCGTTCTTCGGTCATATTTCGATAGCCCGCACGCGCGAGGGGGCCATTATTTCGCGGGTACGGCATGGAACGCATGACTTATCAATCGTTTCACATACTTGCCATTATTGATTATATATGTTTTCCTACTTATATTTTTTTGGCCATGTCTAGACAAGAATCAGAGAGAAAACGAATGCGTTGTATTAAGAGCTATGGAGAAGAGACTTTCCATTAACTAAGCAGCTACGTTCGGCGGCTGAGTTCCGCCTGATAAACGTCCAACTACTACGCAGTGCACTGAAGTCATGACATCAGGAACAAGGTGATATACTACCCTATAACTAATTCCGTTTTGCGTTAGACCTCCTTCCTTACATGCCTAGGCGGGCAAAATGTTGACGCCTTCGTGAAGTGAATATTTTTCACACTGTTCGACATCGAACTAAGCATGCATGTAAATTTCAAAGGAAGGAAGACAAAAGAGGGCCCCGGCGGATCCAAACTACATAAGATTTTAGTCGGTATGTCTTTCGTTACTTGCAAATCTGCAACCTTCAGAAGTATTCAACACCTGGAACAGAAACGGCAGTGCGAGGTTATCAGACCTTGAGTCTGTCTTTACCAATCGTCTGTAAAGGGCCCTCGACAGCTACATCCAGAGGAATCACAGGACTCAACTTAACGGAGAGCCAAGTGGTAAGTCAACTGCTGTTTTTCAAACACTAATTCTGACTTGTGAACAACAATCCTGGACTGTCAACTGCTTGCCAACTTCCGTCGACAAAGTAAACATCGAAGGGAAGCAACAAAGCGGTGTACACATCTAATTAGTTTACTTTTAAATAAAATTATCTCACAACTTCTTACTCCACAGTACCTTTGTGGAATGGGTGACGAACAAAACGGGACAGTGTTACGTCCCATTTTCGCCGTCTGCAGAGTATCTCAATTGATCAATATTTATCAGGTATCTATATTGGCGACAAAATAGATATTCAGTCAATATAGGAATCTTGACAAATAGATATGTAATACTATACTACATCTACAGTAGGTGAAATGCCAACCAAAATTCCAAAATGGATTTTCGTTTAGAAAAGTTTACTGAAGTGTAGTTGTAAAATTTATTGACAAGCAGTATAATTCTATAATAGTTAAGTTACCCCAGGATGTCTCCTTTCGAACGAGCTTCTTTTCGGCTGCATACAGAAACTATAATCTGCAAAAATGACGACTTACGTAGCATGCATTTGTGCTCATTGATTTTCGATGCCCTCAAATATTCGATTGTGTTTCATGGAAAACATGCATAACAATATTCACTCCTGTCCTCATTTGGTAGAAAATTACGTCTTCTTCCAATTTTATACTCGAAGGAAGGGTATAATTGGGTTTTAAAGAACTTTTCTAATTTCTGAATAATTTTGAACCCGACCTGCCGTTGCACTCGCATTCAAGGTTTCCAATCCACAAACCATATATTTTCTGCGTAAGGAAAACCATGCATTTCTCTAAGGCATTAAGTGGACACCACGTAGCGTCCATAAAATTCATCAGTGGAATTAACCCGTGTTGTTAACTTTACGAGCCACATTGGTAAATGCAGAGACATGACGTTTTATGAACGGCCATTTTAGGGTATTAAAAATCTCACAATTAAAAACTTTTTTCAAACCGAATTATACCCTTCCTTTGAGTATAAACTTGGAAGAAGACGTAATTTTCTACAAAATGTGCAAAACAATGAATATTGTCATGCATGTTTTCCATGAAATATACTTGAATATTTAAGGGCATCGAAAATGAATAAGAGAAATGCATGCTACGTAAGTAGTCATTTTTTACAGAGTATAGTTATTGCATGCAGCCGCAAAGGAGTCTGTTTGAAAGCTGGCATCCCGAGGTAATTGAAATATTATATAATTATGCTGTTTGTTAGAAGTTTTGCAATTTTGCTTAATTAATCTTTTCGAAACGAAACCTACTTACGGAATTTTGGTTGACATTCCATGAGTTATCCGACCTACTGTACTGGATATAGTTTGTTACTAGAGCATTTTGTATGCCGTTTTTTACCTCAGACGCTTGAAACAGGCACACAGCTTCAGTGCTTGCCTTAGTACTACGGCATAGGCATTAATAAGGGAGGTAGTTACCAAACCAGCTTTTCGAGAACGAGGACTGAGCCTGTAAAATCCAGAAAGCCATTATCCTTGAAAATTCTTGCAGTTTCGATATTTTCGTTCGTTCAAATTTCATAGGTGCGGTCCACTTTAAGGAACGGCGTTATGATTCTTTCGATGTTTACATGAAACACATCAAAACACGTGGACACTTATTGCCTTGTTATAGCAGCCGGTTGGCTAAGAGTCACGTACCTCTTATATTTCTTTCTTTATCGAGTTTCTTAATGGTATCCTCCAGGTGGTTCAGTGACTGGAAGTGGCACCCAAACATAATTTTACAGTAATTAAACTCAATAACAATCGCAGAAGCCGTTGAAGATTGCGTGACAATTTTCGACCAATCGCCTGATACTCGGCGGAACCATTCGACAAATTTAATTTAATTTAATTATTTTTATTAAAAACCCGTCGGGGTCCCATCAAAGCAAGTAAAAATAGATTTACATGTGAATTTTAGACGAGGCAGGCAGAATCTGTACAAAGTGCAATACATAGTTTTTGAGATTAGATGTCCGTTAACAAAAATGATAAGCGAGGGGTGAAAAAAACTCCATACAAATATTTAAAAATGATTAAATTAATTTTACAGGAGAAAAAAACCCCTCGAAAAAAATAGAAACAGAACAGTGCGGGCAGGACTGCCCTGCATGTGGCGGTATAGAATAGATTAAAGTCGGAATCAACAGGGCCGAGATAAATGTCAGCTGTATATGGCATTATATAACGGATTTCATGAAGGGGTAGGTAGGCGGGTCGTTCAGAACTGCCCTGTATGTGGCCTTGAATAAGACAAATAAGTGGCGAAACGGAAAACCAGTCTCGAGCTGATAGGAACCCAGATGCGGTCGGTTAAATTCATCCGAGTCCATCCGAGGATGGCGCAAGGGAGATGCGACCAGACTACTAGTATATGGCGAATACAGAAGGTTTCGCCAAGAGCATCGATTGAGCGCATTCTGTGAGGGCACGATGCATGAACTGTAAAATTGGAATAATTAACATTTCTGCTGAGGGATCTTAGGAAGCGAGACTACTCACAAAGGAAGGAAATGTGGATAGATGCGGAAATTTAATGGCGGCATATTAAATTCCCGGTGGCCCTTTCCCAGTGTCATAGAAAAATTTGTCTGAAAAGTGTACGTTCCCACGTATGTTTTCCCATTTTTATTGGCACATTTTACCACATACTTCGCATTTTTTGTTTGCCTCGGAAAATTATGGCCTTCTGTTTTCCCCNACCATTTCAGGTAAAAATAGCCCGACGATCGGAAAAGAGGTATTGCTGTCTGTTCACATGCCTCAGCATTCGCGCAGTTCACATCGAGGTGATCACAAACATGGGGACTGATTCGTTTCTGTGTGCTTTCGGCAGATTCGTTGCCCGGAGAGGCTGTCCACGAAAAATTTACAGTGATAACGGACCCAATTTCAAAGGGGCTGAGAACGA